AGCACCTCCACTTTCAATAGTCAGGAGGGGCCCCTGACTCATTGCCTACCCTAGTGGATTATTTCCTGATAGTTCTTCCCAGAAAGGTAGAACCAAGCCCCCACCTGTGAAGAGACTGGTACCCATGTGTTCACATTTCAGTAATAATAATTGGAAATTCTGAGTTACATAACAAAAAAACTAGGGCTTAATTATCTACTTTGTGAAAAATTATGTTTGCCTAAAAGGCAACATTTTCCCATGTAATTTTTATTTGTTTATTTTATCTATTTTTAGAGAGGAAGGGAGAGGGAGAGAGAGAAACATCGACATGAGAGCAAAACATCCACCTACTGCCTCCTGCACGTGCCCCCATGGGGAATCGAACCTACAACCCAGGCCTGCGCCCTGTGCCCTGACCAGGAATCAAACCAGTGACTTTTCAGTGCACGGGACAATACACAACCAACTGAGCCACACCAGCCAGGATCCATATAAATTTTATAACATCCTCCTACTGTATAGGTACTATGTGGTTTGATTCCTGTTATTTTCAGGAGGTACTTATTGCATGCAAAATTTTTTTTATGACCTTGTGTATATGTAAACTACTTTTCACAGTAATTCTGAGGCAGGTACTGATTATTATGTTTTATAGGTAAAGAAATTAACTTATTTTAAGATCACACAGCTAGTGAATGGTGGAGTTGGGATTTGAACCCAGTCAGTATGGCTCCAGAGTCTGTACCTTAATGGATTTTCCGTTACCAGATCCTCATCAAAGAACAAAGTGCCTTTCTAGAGTTGGCATTGTGTAGCATGTAAGCCTCAGTTGTAGGTTCTTGATAAGTCAGAGCCATAAGGATTGCTTAGGCTTGGGAGGCTAAGAGCAGACACTATGACCCTAGCCCCTAGACCTCAGCACAAGGCTATTTAGGGGGTTAGTTCTGCACTATTATCCTTGCACAGCTAGTATTCATCATGAAGTCAAGCAAAAAAGCATGGGAACTTTTGGGCCTAAAAACTGCTTCTGGTTGTCAGTCTCAACCTAGGACCTGGCTGACCTCTGCCATAAAGAAGGGAGGAGCAGCCTTGGCTGGCATTGCTCAGTGGTTAGAGTGTTGGCCTACGCACCGATGGGTTGTGGGTTTGATTCCCGGTCAAGGGCATGTACCTGGGTTGCACATCCAATCTCCGCCCCCAGTTGGGGTGTGTGTGGGGGAGGCAACCAATCCATTTGTCTCTGTCACACGTGTCTCTGTCACATCAATGTTTCCCCCTTTCTCACTCTCTCCCCCGCCTCCCTTCCACTCTCTCTAAAAATCAATGGGAAAACTAAAGGGAGGAGCAGCTTTGCCCATGTGGTTCAGTTGCTTGAGCATCGTCCTCTGCACTGAGAGGTTGCTGGTTTTGATTCCCAATTAGGGCACATACCCAGGTTGTGGGCTCAATCCCCAGTAGGGGATGTGCAGGAGGCAGCCCATCAATGTTTCTCTCTCTATCTCAAAAAAAAAAGGATCCTTTCTCTTTCCTTCTCAGGGGTATAAAGTGGGAGACATAAAGGATTCTCTTTCAGGCAAATGTTAATGAAACACCAATTCCTTTATTTTTTTAAAATATATTTTTATTGATTTCAGAGAGGAAGGAAGGGGGAGATAGAAATATCCATGATGAGAAAGAATCATTGACCGGCTGCCTCCTACAAGTGGGGGCCAAGCCCACACTCTATCCACTGAGCCAAACCAGCTAGGGCAACACCAATTCCTTTAAACTTACATATATCTGGAGTTGTTAATTCTGAGTACCAGAGATATTCAGATGTGACACACAAGTATGGTCCTCAAAAAACTGACAAGGTAGAAAATTATTTTTTGTTTCCATCCCTGGCTCACTAGTATATTCAGCAAAAGGAAGAATTGTGTGACGTCTCCAGCTCCAAAGCAGTAAGTTGGGTGGGTGATGGGGGCTGGTTGAGTTCACAGGTGTTTAATTTCTGCATGCCACTTGGGATGATACCACTTTAAAAAATATTTTTAAATATTTTTATTGATTTTTAGAGGGAGAGGAAGGAAGAGGGAGAGATAGAAACATCAATGATGAGAGAGAATCATTGATTGGCTGCCTCCTGCACACCCCCTACTGGGAATCGAGCCTGCAATCTGGGCATGTGCCTTTGACTGGAATCGAACCCAGGACCCTTCAGTCCGCAGGCCGATGCTCTATCCACTGAGCAAACCAGCTAGGGCAGGATGATACCACTTTATTCAGTGCTTGGCATGTGTGAGGCACTGTGCTAAACCTTTTATTCAATATATACTATTTAATCCCCAGAACTGTTACACATATGAAGTAGATACTGTTATTAATTTAACAGATGAAAAAACTGAAGCACAGAAAAATCAAATGACGTGCTCAAGTCACCCAGCATGTGTTAGAAATGCCATTTGAACCTAGGCAGTCTGTAAAACTTTTGCTCTTAGCTATTCACTATATTGCTAATATCCTGGGTTAGGATAGCAGCAGAAATTAAAGCTTAACAGTGAGAGAGGACTTGATAGAAAGCGGAAAACCAAGATTACAAGTGAAAGTGGAGTTAAAGTACAGGGTCTTTGGACCTTTGAGCCCCAATCAGTGGGTTGCAATTCCTCCCAGGGCAGGGTTTGTGTCTGGATAATTTTTGCATCTGGCACAAAGCTGGACCCATAATCAGTCTCAAAAGACATTGCATTGAATAATGGCTGAGTAACATCATCTTTGTAGAAAGGACTGCTCACTTGTCATTATCCACAAGGTTCCCAACAGCAATGCTCTTTATCTAGCAGGTGTTGGCAGTCCTAGAGGACATATTTGGTGGGGAGAAGGGTATGCTAGAAGAGTGTTTAACATTAGTCTTTGGAGTCATATTTATTCGTAGAGGTTTCCTCAACCCTCCCCTAGTTTGGTTATCAGTCTCATTAAAGGCCCAATGATGCCAGGCTCTCCACCACTACCCCAGCCCCACCTGTGCCCAGAAATATGCTCCAGGCATCTCATTTACTCTCACAAAAAGCCTGGCCTCTTACAGGTAGAATGGGGCATTGCTCTTAGCCCACCTGTTTGACCCTGTTCCTGCCTTCCTGGTCCATTCCATGGGGATAGCATTGTGTAGACACTTTCAGTAGGCACCCTGAGCAAATGCCTTTTCCCAACCTACCCCCCCCCCAAACTTGATTTGGCTTTATTGCTGAAGGAGAGGGACAGCAGAGGTGATACCCCTTGACCACACCACATCTTTGTTGATTTGTAGGTCTCGGCCTAAAATTGTTAACTTTTGTTTTGTAAATTCTGTTCTGAGACTGTTGCCAGAGTGGGGGCTATAATAGGCTCCCCAGCTACAGGTTTTCTAACCTTAATGGAGGGGAGGGCTTGGGAAAGGTACATTAAAGGTAGGCCACCCTGAGGGAAAACAGGCCTTGTACAAAAGCTGAGTAGCCAGATGTTCACTTTCACAGTTCTGTAAGACTGGCAAGGCAGATAGAGATGAAAAAGAAGCACAAACTCCATTTAAAGTGCATTACAGCTCAGGAACCAGCTCCCCCTGGGCAGGAGAAGGGAGGAAAGGGCACAAGAGGCCACATTAGTCTCTCTCCTTATCTAGGGCCACATGTCTCTCTCCTGGCTTTGTGAAGGGTGATTTACACCCCTGGCTGGAATGACTCTCTCTTTCTGTGCTGATTACATTGGCAAATGCCCCCCAGAGGCCACAGCAGGATGGCCATATTCAGAAGCAGCAGCCAATAAATCTCAGAGGTTTATGTTGTGCTGCTCAGTACCCTCCTTTCTGGCCCTTCGCCAGGTGGACTGTGGCAGTGAGACGGCTTGGTTAGAGGGTTAGAGGATGAAACCCTCTGCTTCCTTTCATCATCCTCTTTCTCTCTTTAAGCACTGCTTAACTCTCAGTCATCCGGTCCTTCTGCCTCTATATTTGTGCTGGGAGCAGGTGGGAATCCACCCTAGGCCAACGAGTACCTTTGCCTCTATAGGTAGAAATCCTGGGCTCTGGCACAGCTGTTTCTACCTAGCTGCTTCATCTTGGGAGAGTAGCTTGCGCTCTGAAACGTCATCTGAAAATGAGGAGGCACCTAAGTGGTCTCTCCAGCTACCTTCCTCAGTGACCTTGTCTTTCTTCCAGGGAAATCTCTGCTAGTTAGTCTGAGAGGGGTTTAATCCTTCCATCCTCCCTCGTGACTCTGAGGGGGCTGAAGGAGTCTAGTCTGGCAAAGATCCTGGGATCTGCTCCCTGTCGGGGACCCATCTTTGTAGAATCTTGGGGTTAAAAACAATGACAGAATCTTACGAGGGGGCTGAAGGAGTCTAGTCTGGCAAAGATCCTGGCATCTGGGACCAGATCTGCTCCCTGTCCGGGACCCATCTTTGCAGAATCTTGGGGTTAAAAACAATGACGGAATCTTATCCTTGAAGATACTTGATGAGGGAAAAATGAAATCATAGATGTGCAAATCTAAGAAAGAAAAAGGAAAAGAAATGCAAGTGCCCTAGTGCTGGTATGTTCAAGTTTTGTTACAAGATTTCATTTGTGTTGGTTATTCCTTGGTGGTAGTGGGGGTTGGGGGGTGGTGAGAAAGGGTGCTTTTTTGGGATAGCTATTGGGAACCCCCAGATGGTGAGTCTCAGCGGTAGCTTCCCCAGTATCTCCGACGGGAGCCCAAGTGGGGGGTAGGGAGGGCGAGGCAGGGGGCTCAGATAGAGCACGATCTTCCACGCCCCTCCCGCTCCCAGGGCACTCGCCCTCTGCCCCCACCCCAGCGTTTTCTCCGTCCAGTGAAAGAAGAGGCGCGTTTGTGCGCTTCGGAGTGGGAGGGCGGCGCCCGGGACCCTGGTGCGAGAGTTGGCGCCTGGCGCGCGGGGAGGGGCGGGAGACAGC